GTAATTAAAGATAAGAACAATATTAGTTAGCATATTTATTCATATAAAAATAGATAATGAGGGTATAAAATTATAATAAAATGTGATTATCAAATACCCCCACACCTAAACTCTTTGCTATAGTCCTCTAGCAAAGAAAATAAAAAAAATCCTAACTCACTTTCGCAAGAATCGCGGTTGTTATTAGCCATACAATAAGCCTTTAAACCCCTAGGTTACCCTAGTGGACGAGTTGTAGTCTCGTGAGGGTTTGCAGTGAATATACCTACAAAATTTGGTCATCTTGCCAATAAAGAAGTTAGTAAATAACTAAATTTACTTGATAATTGAAGCTAGTTTTACTCAAGAAAACATTTTTATATATAACTCTAAGGTAAATTTCCTAGAAAATCTTCTCATTATAGCAATACAAAACCAAGCCAAACTTAGAAATTTAATTTAAAAGTTTTGAAAAGAACATGCTAACTCTTTGTTTAAAATAATATTCAAGTTGCTTGATCTAAAATATTTTCCAAGACCATATATACATATATAAAACATTTATTAGTATTTTTATTATTTTTATTTTTAACTCTTTCTTCCTTGGTGATTTTTTTTCTACTTTAACGGGCTTTCTAAGCGACCATTTAACGAGTTTTGGGCCAATGGATCCCAACCTAATTGGGCTTAGGTTATTAAGTATGGAAATACTCATTGGGCTTAATTACTCGATCAGCTTAGACTTTATAAGATAGAATCACCTTGAATTTAAGAGTTTTTTTTTCTTTTCTTCTTCTTTTTTTTTCCTTTTGGTGCCTATTTTTCGCACTCTTCTTTTTGCAAATTTTTTTTATATGTATATGTGTATATATTCTGAAAAATATGTAAGTCAAGCCACTTTGAAAATTTATTTTTAACTCTAAGCTAAGCATGTATTTCATTATTTTAAATAAAAATCTAAGTTAAGGCTTAAGTAAAGTATACTACTTTGAAAATCATTTCTTAAGAACTTTATTTAGAGTTATCATAAAAAGTGAACTTGAGTAAATAACAGATTAGAAAATTTAAAATTTATCAAATAAATCAATTATTACATAACTCTATCAATTTGGCAAGTGGCGATATTTTTATAAATTTTTTTAAGAAAAAGGGAAAAAATGTAACTAAAAATGTAAAATAAAGAGAAAAAAATAACTAATCTCACCCCCACACCTAAATTTTGCATTGTCCTCAATGCAAACTCTATGATGCATAAAGTAAAGTAGATAAGAAGTGAAGCACTTACATTTGGTCAGCTGATAAAAATCTACAATTACCTTTGGTCTGAGGAGGATAAAATCAAAAATTTATTCTTCTGTTTTTTTTTTCTTTTTTTTTCTCTTCTCTTTTTTTTCTTCTTTTTTTTTTACAACTGAACAAGAAACTCTCAAATGAGAGAAGAATCAATTCTTTTTATTATTCTGAAATAAACAAAATAAATAATGTAGAATGAAATATTCAACATGAAGAGCTCGTATTCTACTTTGAATCCTACCTTATTGTTAAAAATTCTTCTCCGGATTTTAAATAAATTCAGAATGATATAATCAATAATATGAAATTCTAAGCATTTCGAGGTGTTCAATAATTCTTGCAACAAATTAATGTAGGTATTATTAGTGTCATGCATTTTGTATTTCTTAATGAACTTAGACTCTTGTATTGTGAAGTTTTGTTTTCTAACAACCAATTCTTCTGTAGAGTTCTGAAAATTTGGTTGTTGATTATTCTCCAAGAATCTAAGTTCATCAAGAAAGAGTTCTTCAAAATTTAATTCAAAGCAGCAAATGTTTAACACAGTTTTATTATTCTCAAGGACCTGATCTGCTTCTTCTAAAAACTCTAACTCTTCATCAAAAATTTCCTCAAAACTTAAATCACACTCTTCTTCTTCTTCTTCTTCTTCTGATCTTTCCTGAATGTAGTTTATTTCTAGAGGCTGATTATTTGGTTGGTCCCCTGGATTAAAAATGTTGAGATCAGCAGTCAAATTCCCAAAGGACAGCTTCATTTGACCAGTTCTACAGTTGATGAGAGCATTAGAAGTGGCTAAGAACGGTCGTCCTAAGATGACAGGTGTCTGTCCTTTGGGATTGGAAACAGGCTGTGTTTCCAAGACTATAAAATCTACTGGAAAAATAAAATCTCCAACCTTAATCAGAACATCCTCTAACTCACCCATAGGGACCTTAACAGATCTATCAGCCAACTGTAAGGTGCATTTGGTTGGGTTCAGTACACCTAGACCCAATTGCTGGTAGACTGAATATGGCAGCAAATTAACACTGCCCCCTAAGTCTAAAAGCGCCTTATCAATGTGAGTATTACCAATGATACATGAAATGATGGGGGAACCTGGATCTTTACGTTTCAAAGGTATCGGATTTGACAGCATTTCACTGATATTGGCGTCTAAAAAGACTTTCTTTGGAACATTTATTCTCCTCTTCTTAGTGCACAATTCTTTTAAAAATTTAGCATAAGATGGAATTTGTTCAATTACATCTAAGAGAGGAATATTGACCTTAACCTGCTTGAATGTTTCTAGGATCTTCTCCTCCTGAGGAGAGTGTTTCCTAGACCTGAGTCTATCTGGAAAGGGAGCAACCGGTCTAAATCTATCAAAAGCAGGCTCAGGTTCGGGTTCAGGTTCTTGGTCATCTGAGGGGAGTGATTGTTGAATAGATTTATCAGAAGGAGAAGGAGAAGGAATTTGTACTGGATCAAAAGTTTGACTTGGGGGAGTTCTCACTTGATTATCGACCTGTCTACCTGACCGAAGTGAATGGATTGCATTCACTTGAGCTTCATAGGATGAACTGCATCCTGTGTCCTTAGGGTTGACAACGGGTTGACTCGGAAGTTTTCCTTTCTCTCTTTCACTCACGGCACTAGCTAGTTAACCAAGCTGGGATTCTAATCTAGCTATAGCTTGAGTGTTGGAGTTGAGCATTTGTCCGGTTGATTGCATAAAGGAATTCAGAGTGCTGGGCGTTTGGGTCAACATATTCGTGGTTTGAGTGGATGCCTTAATTATGGTTTCCAAACACCTTTCCAAGACATTAAGACGTTTATCCTGATCTGGATTGTGAGGAGTCTGAATTACAGCTTGATGAAGAGGAGACTGATTTTGATATGGCAGATTGGGTTGTTGAAATTATGGATGAGAATTGAAAAGAACTGTGTTTCCCCTAGGAAAATGTTGGGTCGAAGCGGGAGTGAGGTTTTGAGTTCCGGGAGAATTTCCTTGATTCCATGCAAAGTTGGGATGATTTCTCTAACCTGGATTATAGGTTGGAGAAAATGGATCATTTCTAGGATGCTGGAATACAGCGTTCATCTGTTCTAATACATGGTTGTTTCCTAGGAGAGGACATTTCTCTGAAATGTGGGTAGGAGACTGCCAATTATAACATCCTGAGGCAGAAACGTGATTGATTTGAGCTGGAGCTCGTTCCTTAATTTTTAAGGCTTCTAACCTCCGCAGAATTGTCGTCATCTTTGCTTCAGAAGCAATGTTTGACTCCAAGGAAAGACCACTAGACTTAGAATGGGGAACTGATAAAACCCTATCATCACAGTGTTCCCATTGCATTGTTTTCTCGGATAGACTCTCTAGAAATTCCCAAGCTTCGTCGGCGTTTTTCCTCATGAAATCCCAGTGGCACATTGATTCTAAGGAAGTTTTTGCAGAGTAATCTAATCCCTCATAAATTATTGGCACAATCACCATTTTTCTAAACCGTGATGAGGACATTGGATGAGAAGATTGTAGGCGTATAAAATTACCTATAGGTCCCTTAGCATGGTTCAGCATGATGGTTCGACAAATCAA